AGACGTTTCATTGAATTGTTTTCTTTTTCTTTCAAAACAATAAAATTAGAAATAATTTTATACAACTGTAAACTAACTATCATCAATTGATTAATCATTATTATTGCCATTATTATTAATGAATGGGTATGTATTTGATTATTGAAGTTATGCATTAAATATTGTAAGAATATTCAAAAATACAATTTTTTATGTACTAACAAAGATTTTTAAATTACGGGTAACTTCGGAGAACTATTAAAGGACTAATCTTATTATATAACTATTCAGTAACCAGATTGTATATATCTATATTCCTTTTATTATAAGCTCATTTTGATATATAGATTATTATTATACGATTTACTGTTCTTAAGTTATGTCCAGTTTATTGATTACAGTCTCCCAACCTTTGTATCCACTATTTGGTTTGATCTTGTATAAATGTTATTTCCTATTTTATGGTGTTTGGCTGATATATAAACCAAGTATGTTTGAAATAAATGATTTGCATAGTTGGATTTGTTATTGACATTCTGGACTCAATTGGATCGGCTAGTTGAACAAAGGACTAATAAGGACGTTAGGCCGCTCATACCGGTTGAATATCATTGGTTTAGCACAGTACTAAAATTGAATAAGTCATATTTCGACGGGTGAATAAATCACGTGATATGTAGCCGGGCATAAAGTCACAACAATAATCAATAATAATAATTTTATAAAATGTTAAACTTATGGATGAAATGTTCAACATTGAGCATAACCGTTGTCTTATTATAGAAATATTGTACATAAAAAAGTATATTATCGAGATTGTTTTTTTTATCAGGAATAGAAATCAGTTGCTGATCAAATCTAAAGCACTTTACCGATGATTCGTTGTACTTTTGAAATTCTTAGTTAAGTAAACAGCCAAGAGTTAACTATGAGACTAAGAACTGATAACTTGAAGTCTTACCATAAGTAAGAATTAACTATTTTACTCCAGACTTATTAATTTCACATATAAAAAAACATTAAAGATTAATCTCTAATGCTCAGATGATTAATGTTATTTACTAACATGGTCTAATACTTCATGATTTCCGGTAGTTCTTTAGCCGACTGTGATTATTATTTTTTGGTTGGTGAAACTAATCGTCCGACTGTTACAAAACTTCCATTAAAGAAACCTGTTACGAACGTCACATACAGTAACGTAAATAAGTAACATTTTGATATTTCATTTATAAATAGGTTTTAGATTAAACAGTGTTCATTTGATATTTGTTATTTAAGTTGAGAATAAAATAGAATCATACTAAGTGACCTGATTTCAACGTTTATAAATATAGGTCAAGCTGGTTAGCTGCCTATGCTTCTCCACGAAGAGTAACATGCATAAATAAATAAGTAAATATAAAAACATTTTTTCTATTTAGTTGTATATTTCACTTCCAAATTAATACACCACCAAATGAAGAAGAATAATGGTTAGTAGTCTCTGTTAACTGACTATTATGTTTACATTACAAAGTCATTTACTTCCAAAACTGCATCATGAGGCAAGCCCTAACTTGGAATCCTGAAGGGAAACGGAAAAGAGGAAGGTCAAAGAACACACTGTGTCGAGAATTAGAAACAGATATGAAAAGGATGAATAAAAACTGGGAAGAGTTGGAAAGGATTTCTCAGGACAGGGTTGGATGGAGAATACTGGTGAGCGGCCTATGCTCCTTCACGAGGAGTAACAGGCTTAAGTAAGTAAATGTACCTGTCTGGTAAAAACTTTCAATATTTATTATTCAGAGATGTATTGATATACTGCTTAGATGATTAAAATCTCGTTAATGGTTGATGTATCAATGTACTTAAATTTAAGTAACTCGATGAATTACACTTTTTGAATTGATTTATAGTAAATACTCTACTGATTATTTTCGTCTTATGTAAGAAAGATCATCATCCAACGAATTGGCCATTATCATATAACTCGAAAAGTTTGATATCAATATGGATAGAATCAAATTTGTTTGAAGGGGCTTAGGAATAGACAAATTAATGTACAGTATCTGTTCAAGAATCGTAGTCTATGATTGAAGACATTTTAGATAATATTACTCAAAATCAGTTCTATAGGCTCAGTTGATTTTGTTCCAAATATTAAGTTTATTTTATACTGTTGATTTGATCAGTTTGTTACTTCTTTTAAGTTTATATCCTCTATTTCTAGTAGTTTTTACACTGTCAGAATATTGGTGTCTATTTTTTTTTTCACTTTATTCATTTCATCTCTGTGTTCTAACGTGATGTGATAAATTGAACTGATACTTATTTCTATCCAGTTTTACATTAATTATGACTGATTAATTACCATAAATAATCATAGATTTCATTATAAGTGAAAATTATATATGAAATAATCTCAACGATTGAAATTTCAAATTAATTCCAACGTTTCGTTCAGCAAACATGTCTGAATTTGATTTTGTTTATTACCCTGAAGAAGTTCGAACAAGTTTGCTGGACGAAACGTTGGAATTAATTTTAAATTTTAATCGTTGAGATTATTTCATATATAATGACTTTTCTATACTTGGCGCCAAATTATTGTGAAACCAACACTGAAACCTAATGAGCATGATTTTCAACAACTTCAACTATTCGACACATTGTAAATTTATTGATAGAATCCGATCAGCTCCAGGGACTAGATAGACAAGATTTTGGCTTTCAATTCGTAATAAACCAACGAAAATATTTCATTCCTATAAAACATCAGTTTTGGCCCAAGTAGCTTAATGACAACGTTAGATGGTGGTTGGAGGTAGTCAACAGGAAACCCTGAAACCGGGTTTCGTGCTACTTGACACTCGTCAGCAAAGTGTGACTGTAATCTTGAAAGAATTGGTGCTCCCTGACGGGTTCGATCACGTGTCACCCAGCTTCACATTCAGAGATGATACCACTGAGCTATCCGGGCCGTGGCCAACTTGCTGTAGGACTGAGATGTAATCACACTGCGTGCACTATGTTGAGACCAAATGGTGGTTGGAGGTAGTCGACAGGAAACCCCATACATAAGTTTTGTGCTACTTGGCACTCGTCAGCAAGGTTTACTTGTAATCTTGAGGGATTTGGTGCTCCCTGACGGATCCGATCCCACAACTTAGTCGATAGCATTCGATCTGCATTAAAAAGGACTTGACACACATGACATTGATCACCACCCAGTGATCAATCAATTGTGATTAATGACAACGTCTCAGACTGTGATTCTGGGTGACGCTAGTTTGGATTTCACAGGGAGTAACAGTCCCCGCAAGGCAGCTAGTACGCCTTATTGATAAGTGCCGACTAGCTCGAAACTTAGGTCTACAGTTTCCTATTGACTGGCTTGTGTCGTAATTATGATCTAATTTCACACTTTGTTCTTATATACTTTGAAAGAAACTCTCACCAAAAACTGACATGAAATGAGAAACGGTAAGTCACCTAAGACGATTGGGTTTTTATTTAACTCAAATTTAAAATCTGTGACTGTTCATTGACGATTAAGAAAAGAATCACATCAAGAAATGTAAGATCTCAAGTCCAGTTTGACAATGTTCATCCATCGGTTGATAAAACCTAGAAATCATCGATTGTAATTCCATGCAATTTTCGAAAAATTACAACTATAAATCATTACCACCGATGGGCAACAAACTTTCTCCAACGTTGGGTTCATAATTTCTCCTTGAAAATTTCAGGAAATCAGTCTTGAAGCTATACTCTATTGGCATCATATAAGGATTACAATACATCCCAAATTAACTGAGAGTTCAATCAGAATCAGATTTGTGGAGGCCGTAGCAATCTTAACCGTTAAATTCACGAGTCGATCTAATCTAGACCATCATTGAAAATCTGGATGCACTGGACGGCCGTTTCGTCCTAGTATGGGACTCCTTAGTAGAGCGCATCCACGACCCGGCACGTGGGATTCAAACCCAAGATCTTCAGTATCGCGCGCAAACGCTCAACTTCTAGACCACTGAGCCAGCAACCAACGGTATTAATGTCTGACTTCACTCGACCCATGATCTTGATCTACCCTTCAATATTATTTTCATGAATGGTTAGTTTCTTGTTTTCCATGAAACTAGAAGGATTCGGATTCTATTTCGTGTAAGGTAATGGTTACACATTACTGAAAAGTCTACGATTACGTCGAAACAACTACCTTATAGGTACTTAGTATCCAATAAATCTTTAATTCATGTTAGCCAATTATAAAAATTATCAAATGCTTACTTTTCCCCTTTAAGGGTTATTCTTTCCTCCTATAAATAAACCAATCACGTATGAAATTATTTTTCGTTGGTTTCATTTGGAAAAATATCCTTTCAACTTTCCTCATGCTTTTAATCATCACCCACTACTGTTAAACAAGTGCGTTTTGCTGTTTTTGTAACCCTGATATTTTCTGAATTCGATAGAGTTTTAGTGAAAGATCAAACTAAAATAACATTTATTCATTGGTTAATCACCTCATTCATTCATGAATGTTTCTGTGATTTCTTTATAGAATTCCATATAAGAAGGAAAAAATCTAAGGGGAAGGAAATAAGGCAGGCAGAAAAATAGACAAAGGTAAGAAAAACAAAATGGATTATAGAATTTCTTCTGATAGAAAACAAACAATTCACTGTATATCTATATTTGAACATTTTGTTTACTTATCAGTTGTATTTATATATTAACACACTACTTCACCTTCATATGGTATATACGAACACAATTATAAAATATATGTATGTATATATACATTTATGTCTATATATTGACAGTCAACCATGTACATCTATCAATACATCTAAGGGGATAAAGTACGAATTAAGGTGATACACTGTTGTTAATTATCAAAAAGATGTATTAATCAAACAAACAAATGGTATTTTTCAAATATGAGTAGTTAATATATAACGATCAAAACAACTATATTTCATATTAATTTAGATTAAAGAATAAAGATAACTTATTTATAATCAGATAATATGTTAACTATTCCACGTGAATCTAATTTGTTTAAATATACTGATGATTATTATCATAATCCTCATAGTAACTCTTTAATTAATTTCAACAATAATCATCAACAACATGTTATACAACATCAAAACAATCAATCAACTCATACTTTTCTAAATGATCAATTAGATATTGAACACAAATCTATTGAACTTATTGAACATGAATACTTGAATAAAAATATTATCACTAATACAATAACTGATAAACTAGATGTTTCTGAAAATAATCGAAATTGTTTAACTCCAATAGTACCTACCATAATATTAACTAATTTAAATCAAAATAATCAACATCATACTGATCTTCAATCAAATCAGTCAGTAATTGAAGATAATTCCTCTATTATCACTTCGTCATCTTTAGATATATCAGTAACGAATTCCATTTCATTATCATCTTCTTTATCATCATCATCATCATCACACATTGATTATAGACCTTCTAATAGTAATAGTAATGAAAGACTTTTTCATACAAGTGAATTCTCAAACAATATTCATAATAGTAATGATAGTAATAATAATAGATATCCATTGTATAATTTACCATTTTCAATGGATTATTGTTCCAATAAACTTATTCGACAAAATGATGAATGGAATAGAATTTTTACTTCAGAGAAAATGTTACAGAATACCACTACTATAAATGAATATTCAAAAGTTAAACAATCCAATGATGGTAAGCATTGATGTTTACTATTACTGTAATTTAATTGAATGGATAAATAAATTAGTTTCTATGGCTTTTGAATTAACATTATCAGCCTATGTAATTAATCTGTCATTACTGAATCATGAGAGCTAATATCATCGAAGATAACGTTGTTTAAATAACACCAACATAGTTATGGCCTTCAAGCCATTAGCAACATCTTCTGTATGTTATTAAATACTAGTTATTAACATTATTAGATAGTTGAATCTAGTCAGAAGAAAACTACAAGGCTATATCTCCTTCTAATTAATACTGTCATCAATCAGTGGTAAGGTGTATTTATAATCTTCAGAAAAACTACTGTTCCTCAGAGATCTATATCATTTAATATCATAGTTAGATAACATAAACATTGAACCGTTTGGCCTTTTTCACAATTCTATTCCAGGGAAGTTAACTCAACCTCATAATTTCAGTGACTAGCATAGTGTCTAGATCAAGAGATTACATCATATAGTCTTAATTCACTAAATATAGGACGTAACTTATTACATGACGTAATGCATGATTCTTTTCATATCTATAAATTAAATTAATCAGGGAAAATTTTGGTTGTTTAAGCTGGATAATATAAAATTATAGATAGTCAATCATGTGTTCTCAATACGATAGGAACATTTCGGTAAATAACATCACAGTATAAAACGAACAGTTTTGTGTATTTTTGATGAATTTGAATCGATAAAGAAATAGGAAAAATGGAAACATCTAGCTCTGTTCTGAACAATCCTTTCTAGTTCATTCCAGTTTTTATTCATCCTTTTCATGTCAGTTTCTATTTCTCGACTCAATGTGTTCTTTGGCCTTCCTATTTCCATTTCCTTTCAGGATTCCAAGTTAGAGCTTGTCTCGTTGTGCAGTTTGATGATTTCCTCAATGTGTTATATCCACATATAACGTCTTTTTCTAATTTCTTCTTCATTCGTAAGTTAGTTTGTCCTGATGATATTAGGCCAACGGATATTGAATATCTTGCGTAAACAGCTATTTATAAATACTTATGTTACTGTCAAATTAACTGATAATTTGACATATTTGTAGAATAAAATGAATTCATCTTTCTAGTTTAAAGTTTCTCATGAGTTTGAGGAAGCAAATTAACGGAGTAAGAAACATAAGATAGGCATATTTTAATGAATAAAGTAAAACAGTAAAATATGAAAATTGACGTTTATGTTAAGAATATTTATGTATGGATAATCTAACAATTTAAATAATCCAGATGGAATCATTAATCATAATTATCATACCAATAATATCTGCATTTAATAATCTTCTTCGAAAGCCTAAATTCAATGAACATTTATCTTCTCTTATTTTACAACTCATCAGTAGAACTTTTATGAATAGAAGCTTAGCTTAATATTGTCTTTCACTTAAATTTATCATCTTGTAACTAGTTAAATAATATAAAATGTTGGAAAATGACAAGAAATCTTATTAGATAGACAATAGATTTAAGATATGGAAGGTTGTTACAACGCAATAAAATTAATAACTCATTTCATTGGTAAGTATAAGGGATTTCAAAATAAAGAGAACAAGAACAAAGATTGGTGCAGAATAATATGAATTCATTTTACTTCGTTAGGTTCTCATCGTCTGTTTACAACCTAAAATATTTGAGCGAGTTATTACAGATATTGACATACTCATACATAAGATGGTGATCAAAGATGAATATATGTATCATGATGTAACAAAGAATCCGTTAGAGTTACTGAGGTTATAAAATTTTTTGTTTAGAATAAATAAAGTATGGGAGGGGAGGTTTAAGAACATTGAAATAGTGATTAGAACTCATGGAATTAGTCTTTGTTCTCGTTCTCTTTAAGATAATAAAGGTAACTATGTGTATGAGATTTCAGAATACTTTACAGTTTCTAATAGGATCTATTGTTCAACTGATAATATTTACCTCTGTTTTATGAAACTATACAGCTATTTGGTTAGATTGTAAATACCTTATTCTGGTGTTTTCTTTTTTTCTCTCTTCCTCATAACAGTATTAACCACAATGAATTCCGTATATGATGATCAAGCACTTTATAGACAATCTTCACTAATAAATCATCAACCCCATGTTCAATGTATCAATGATTACGAGAATTCATTGTCAAAAACAAATGGGTTTAACACAAGGCAATCAAATTCAGATCAACAAAATAACTCGTATAGTAATTACTATTTTCACAATCAGAATAATGATATTATTGACCATAATAATAATAATAATAATAATAATAATAATAATAATAATAATAATAATAATAGTAATAATGAGTTGGATAAGAAAGAATTACAAAACATGAGGAATAAAAAATCCGATTTCATTTTAATACGTCAGCGTAATAGACGTAAACCGCGTATTTTATTTTCACAAACACAAATTTACGAGTTAGAACGTCGATTTAAGCAACAACGTTATTTATCCGCTCAAGAACGTGAACAAATGGCGAATAATTTGAAAATGTCAGCACAACAAGTAAGATTTCTTTTTGGTATTTTCTTACTTATTCATTTGGTTATTTTCCGTATGTTTTTAGTTAAAACTCAGAACTTGTTTAACTAGTCTCTTTCTAAGTTTTCATCACAAAGTAAACTTAGTTTGATAACGATTTTCTTATCTAAATGAATGGTCATGTTTTCTTATGTAAAAATGAAAATTTTATGTTCTAAAATAGGATATGATCAGGAATCATTAGCTAATTGGATAATGCGATAACGTCTAAAGCGAGCGGTACTGGGTTCGAGTCCCGGAGTGAACATCAACTCTGGGATGCAGGTATGTCTAGCTGATGAGTCTTAAGTAGGAAAAAATGCGCGTCTTGTATTCCATGGCTAGACACTATCCATCTTTCCTTAAAAAGCTTGTAACTTAAGGCAATATCTAAGCAATCCACACAGGATGTACATATGCCAACATGAGACTGATCAATTGAACTTAGAATATGATAATCCTTTTTTTTAATCAAATCATAAATAGCTTCAATAAATTTCTTATTTTCTTCAGCAAAAAATAAAACATATTCTCAACTTAAATCACACATATCCAAAGCATTTTATGTAGGATAACTTTTTGACATTATTAGATCTCCTGTGAAGAGTGGGATGGAAATGGTCACTTGAGAGTTAAATAATTCACTATCAGTTTCCAGGTTTGAACCTTCTGATGCATTTAATATGTTCTGGGAAATTATTCACAATTACAAAATGGTGTCACACGATGTTGAATACATGTTCTGTGCATATAGTTAATGAGTTATGCGTTAAAAATGTGACGAAATCCAAGTAGATTTATTCTCAGTCCTAACTTCTACTTAAAATAGTACAGAAAGAGTAAAAGGTTGTGAAACCATTGATCTGTTAGCAAAGGCTTAATATAAACAGGTTTTAATATCATACTTAATTGCATAAACTGATTAGAATAATTAAGGAATATCATTTAGGGAACTCCGGTTCGAACCCTTTTAGGGTTATTGTCAATCTCAAGCCTGAGGAAAGAAGCAGGGTTGGGCAGGGGGGTTAGCAACTCCATCCCGTTAAAGATGGCATTGCTAAAAAATCTCTAACTATCACTTAGACAATTTTAATGCAAGTTCCAAATCGATGGAAACTTATAATCTAGGGCTAAAATAATTCAGAAGTGAAGCTTAGAAACGAAACAGCTTGATAAATGACACGGTGATCACGAGATAAAAGGGACCCTATAAAATTTCAGAGATATTTACCTTGTTGATATAAAAATTGTGATATTGAGGAGTAGAGTACTTTTATAGACTGGTTTCATTAATCATAGTCAGTAGTCACTAACATGCGACATGTCTCCAAATCGGTCAATGGTTCAAATGGATTTAATCTTTATCTCCCTTCACATCTTGAGTTCTAATGTTTTTCTCACAATGTTTTTCGATTCTTTCTTCTTGAGACGTGTTTTCAGTATTTAATTTTCTTGTCTATCATCATTACTACGATTATTTTGATTGCTCTACTACTCACCATGTTCATTTCATCTCTCGATACTTATGTGGTATGACAATTTGAGTTGATGAGTATTTATTCCAGGCCCTGCATCGATCATTATAAACAAATGTTCTTTACATGCAAATAATAGATTAAAAAAGTCAAATCAATTACGACTGTATGTCCTTTTAATCATTCACGGACTAAGTATAAATCTGTCATGATTTTCTTTTAAATGTAACCCATAAGAAGTGTTTTACATTTAATGGTTAATTGTTAAACCTATGTATATATGTTTTGTAGTATCAAAGAACTTGTCATGGGAATGTAAGGTAAATGGATTCAATCTACCAGGGAGAATCAGTCCTCTCAAGATTACGTGCACATCTCGTTGATGAGTGCCGAACAACGCGAAGCTTAAGTCTAGGGTTTCCTGTTGACTACCTCTAAACACCACCTCACATCTCAATACTGTGCATGTGATGTCAAGCCACCTGGACTATTGGTCATATTGTAACACGATCGATATTAAGGACTGGACATACATGACACTATTCACCACTCAGTAATTAATCAGTAGTTATAGGAATATTTTTGTGCGTCAATATGCTGTATTTCTTGATTATCTCTTACGGAGATCAGGATATAGCATATATTAATTGCCGACGTAGATTGTTTGTTGTGTTGTCATTGCCTCTAGACAGTAAATTTTCGCCATATTGAAAGTGAAACAAGTATCACAGATAGTAATAGACATTCATTTTACTTTATTGTGAAGTGTCTCAAGTTATAGATTTGAACCGCTGGATTTTGATTCACTTTCCAAATATATCTTAAAACTTAAGCTTGATCAAAATCAGGTTCAATATCATATGATTTCGTGGGCAAGCACAATTGAAGAATCCTAGACCAAGATAAACATTTGCTTTTCAATCATTCTTCAATCAATGTCAATCATTAATGAAAGCCAACTTGAAGTTGATCAATCTTTAAAAACTTTCTTGCAATCAACACTTTCTTAATAAAATAGTTTCTGAATATACTAAATACTGATGAAGATTATAAATTTATTCTTTATTGACATTTATCAGTCATGACCCATTAGAATAGTTTATGATCAACATATTTCAAATTGCATAAAGACAGTAATACAAACGATAATAACAGTTGTTTTATATGTGATCACTTTTTTCATTTAAAAAGACATTTAATATTTCTTTGCCTTAACACTTGACCCAATAATCGAACGTAACTTAATAAAAATAAAACTTCATGTAAGTAGTGTGATTGATCATGCTGTGTGTGTGTGTGTGTTTGAATCATCCTAGACACATAGGTTTATAATTAACGTTTTTATATATCAAACAGTCTATTTTTGTGTAATCAGGCCTAGTTATTTTTATGTCTATTCAATTCTTGTTGATTTCATTTGTTGACCCAGTTCATTATTTGAGATTATAATAGAAAATTGTATTCGGTTTATTAATTCATACATTTATTATTTAATTAAACGACATAAAATAGTAAAACGAATTATACATAATACTTCTCTATCCCCCTATTGTACAATTTTCTCTAAGACTAATATGATTAAGGCATACATACATACATACACACACACATACGCACATAGGTGAATATTCACATGAAGTGTGCTTTTGTGGAACAAAATAAATTAAGAAAGTATAATACAAGTTGATCATGTCACAAACATTTAAACAGCTGCATTAAAATGATTCTGTTAAAAAGAAACTTGTTCTAATGACGTAATAACTAATCTAATGCATAAAATATATGTCATGTCATTAAAAATCAAAACTTGTCATGTAATGTAATTGAGGATTCATTTAGTTTCCTATTCAAACATTCAATTTTTTTGAAATAAAAAATGGGTTCCAGTGAAATTTTTATGATAATTTATTGACTAAATTAAAAATGGTATATAATTTATCGTTTTTCCATAAAATAGTCTTATGTATTAGCTTCTATCAGGATAGATTCTTTAACATGTATTCTGTGAATAGATCTAAATAGAAAGTAATGTCAGACCCTAGTATTTTTAAGGTTTATAGTGAACACAATACAGCAGTTATAGTCACTATAAGATAATAAATGTTGATTTAATGCTTCAATTTGTCACCAAGTTGATTATATCCACAAAATTTTTAATCAGAGAGGGGGTTTTGTGGATATTATAAACAATTTAATAGTTGAATCTCTGAGTCGATCGAAGCTAGACCGCTATGGAAAACCAAGAAGCACTGAACGGCTGTTTCGTCCTAGTATGGGACGCCTCAGCAGTGCGCATGATAGGCGGTGGTGCAATTTCGTGGATTGATTGAAGTTAGACATTAACACTGTTTGATGCTGCCTCAGTGGTTTAGTGGTTAAGCACTCGCGCGCAAGATCGATAGGTCCAGGGTTCGAGTATCGTGAGGCAGGAACGTGCATGCTGAAGAGTTCCATGATAGGACGAAACGACTTTCCAGTGCTTTCAGGTTTTCCAGTGTGGTCTAGCTTCAAATGACTCGTGAATCCAACTATTAAAATGTTTAATCGTCACTGAGTATATTATGTACAAAGAGGAAATGTTATGAATTCTAGTGTGACTTACATTAAACTGTTCGCTTCAAGCCCTCGATTTCATCCTATATATCAGGTTATACTAATATTGGATATTTCCAGAAAACCGTAATTATTTCACTAATATTCAATCATGATTTATTCTAAAGTTATTTGATATAACAATAAGTGTAATTTATGTTAGAAATAAAAACTACAAAAATCAGTTTCATAATGTGAACATTTACGTCTATAACTGTGGTTTTTTCTTGTTTTGTTTGTTATTCTGTAATCCATCATGCATACTTTGATCAAACTGAATGCTAGAATCTGTAAAATACACTACTCTATACGGTTGAGTTTGAAAAAAAAATTGATCACTTAATAGAAAAAAAGGTTAGTTTGTACTCATATGAATGATTGAATACAAATTCGAATACATTGAGAATGATTTTTATCGGAGACTAAAGTCAATTAGTAAACTACTATGCAGATATACCAATGGATTTTGTTAAACTGTTGAAAGTTATCGGTGTGTGGTGTGGGTTACTTATATCCATATAAGTAGAATATAACGGTGGTTAGACATGTATTTCAGTAGAAGATTGTTAAGGAAAGAACGGGAACGGGACGCGATCGGTATGAAAATGCATGAACAATGAAATCTGAGACAATGAACTGATATTTGCAAAAGGAACGGTCAAGTTTGTACGATGGATTGATATTTTGGAAATCAATTATTTACTATATGGTTCTCAGAGTTTATTGAGATGCTCTGTCAAATATCTGTGTTCTTGTTCACTACAGGTGAGAAACTTTACCATTAGGTTTTGTGTTAATTCACATTTGCCGATAAGGAATATTGGCTGGATTAATAGGGAATAATATTTCCTTATGTATTTAATTCAATTCATAGTGTGAGGCATTAATGTCAAGATATTCTGGCTTAGTCAGGTTTCC